CAAACATTCTGGAAGGCATCAGCAAACCTGTGATGCCACCTGTATACATGTTGGCTGTCTTCCAGGTGAGGCACAGTGGTGACCAGGGAAGTCACCTAAATTCTGTTCAACTGCATCGCTCAGACATAAAAAGTAAAAAATTATCTGAACAATTTCTCCCCAGACAGACCAGAGTCACTGGTGAAAATGCACAAGACCTAAACAGAATGGCTCGACAAACACGAAAGGGAGGCTCCTGATCACTGGATATTTGGAGCCTGTTAGGTGACCTCACTTTCTCAAATGTCCACATGTCCAACGCATAGAGTAGACGTCCAGGGATTATGTGTAAGTAGTTGTTTGGCATTTGTGTTATTTTATAACACAACACAATTCCCTACAACTTTACAGATTGAAAAGCCAGGTGATGGGGGGCAGTTGTATATTACGGCCTAAGAGCAGGACTGAGACTGGGATGATTCTCTGAAAGTGCTACTTTGAAGCTTTTTCTCACTTGAAGCAAAAAGAGGCAACAGGAAGCATACAAATAAGGGACTTAATGTGCTAATATATATTAGTACACACATAACACGTGCGTGTACTCACACATATATACTGGAAAGCCCCAATACCTGGTTTTCCCTGTAGCACAGTGGGCTTCGTGAACAGATCATTTAAGATGAACAGAGACCGTTCTAAGAACAGAGAGGACCTTCAGATCGAGAAAGAGCCTGGTGAGCTGAAAGTTTAAGAAGCAAGAGGAAGAAGTCTAGGGAAGAGCCAGTCCTGCAGAACCCACCACTAGCACTGCCCCAGTCTGCCCAGCCTCCTCACGGCCAAAGACGGAGGAGAAACCGGCACGGCAGGCAGCCAGTGGCAGCCGAAGAAAAACATCAGCATGTGCAGCTCTTCAGCAGAGCAAAGACACACTTGCTTCTCCCACTCCCCAGAGCCAAACAAGACCTATTCCTCTTCTGCCCACGTCCTCATCCGCGTCATAATTTGGTAGAGAAATTTCTAAACAAGGGCCACTTTTGTCTTACTTTGTTCCATTGTTGTCTTATGAGACCTTGGGACACAGAGGAGAGGTACCAGGCAGAGCCCCAGGCTGCATTCTGAGGCTGCACACCTGGACACACAAATCCTGCACCTACTCAAAGTACCCCTCCAACACTCAGTGGGAAGAGGGCTGCTTATTCTGTGAGCCACATACCACAGCGTCCAAGTTGTCCAGCTCGAGTGCAGGCTCCAAGAGACATGCAGCACCAGTGAACGCGTTCACTGCTAACGTTAGGTTCTTTGAGTCTTCCATCTTCCTTTCTTCTCTATTCAGTGTGTATGGTGGGGTTGAGCTTAAAGTCCAGGAGGTGCTTGGCTTTTTTATTCAGATGTGCTGGTAGGGAAGGCCTGGCAGTAGAACACTGCTTATCCAGAGGGGCAGGGGAGGGCTGAGAAATTGGCCTGGGCATCTCCAGGGGTCCCCCTGTTGAACCCAGACACCCTTTCTTCTCAAGATTTCCTGCACTGACACAGGCTCTCAACTAGGACAGCTCCTTGGTCTCGGAGAGCGCCTCTGCTCAAAAGAACTTTTAATGCCTTCCCATCTGGCTACTGCTAGTTTATTTTTTGGTGCCTTTTCTTTCTGTTCATCTTGAAGATGGCAGAGCAGGTATAGTATTTGTGGATCTCACAAGGTTTGTAACTTCTTCTTCCCCATCTGTGAATGCTTTAGAGTCTGCTGACCTCAATGAAGGCGTCATTCAGTGGCACATGGACAGGACATCTTAACCATTCCTCATGGTGTGAGAAAAATCTTAATTTAAAAACTAAATTTTTCAGGGGAAAAAAATGCTTAGGGCAGTTTTTTTCTTCTCTTAAATTAATTCCATTTTTCCTGAACCTTCTATTTTTTTCACTGGTTTTTCTCAGGCCCTCTAGCACTTTTGTAGACATTTAACAAGAACTTACAGTAAGTGCACCAAGTAATAGCCATCGACATGCCCCAGCGACAGCACAACCCAACCAAGCTGCCGACCTCTCTTTCCCGTCACGGCCAACTCTCTTGATGGGATCAACCACGAGCTCACTGGATACTCAAGAGACAACATATGATGGTTCCCCAGATGGCACCTTTCTTCAACATGCCTCTATCTCCTCATCCGCAAAATATGGTTAACCTAGAAAAACCCTTAATGCCCCTACTGGATTGATAACTCTGGGATTTTCAGAAAAATCTTAATCAGAAAAAGGTAAAACAAGAAAATCCTACCATCTCAGCTCAGCCCTGTCCTCCTGATACCTCCGTGCTTCTCCAACTACCTCCCTGGTGCCGATCCCTTTGGCCGTCTTGGGCCTCCCCCAAGACTGACTTTGCAGATTTGCAAAGTAAAATCCTCTTGCACACGGCCAGATGACACGCTCGTTCCCAAGCTCTGGCTGCAGAAAAGTCCTCATTTCAGATCTCTCAGCTCCGATAACCAAAAGGCAAATTTTCTCCTTGGAAGAGAATGGTTGCATGGCCCTTTGTGAACCAACAGGCAAGACTGGATTTAATATCTCACATGCTTCTTTCTCTCTCTCATATTTAAAAAAAAAAATCATCTCTTATCATCTTCACTTCAAAGGATATTAAATGTAAGACTAGGTGTCTACAGAAAATCAACATGACACAAAAATGAGCAGGAGAGCAGGAAAGGAATGTAGCTGAACATCAGACCACAGGCGTGCCTCTGTCATCGTTTGCACCATGTAGATCTTCACCGAAGCTTTCTGCCTAGCTCTGGGCTCTGTGAGTAGGGTGACCAGGTAATGGTCACCCAAATACGATTAAAAGTCTGAGCAGGGAAGGGGGTACCAAAAATAATTAATAGGCATCACCTGACCGATGGTGGGTATAGACCTGGACTTTCCCGTGTAATCATCTTGCCTAGAGCGGGTACAGGGTGAGGAAAGAAGGGATCACGACAGGACTCTAAGGAGCTCCCACACGTCGTATGGGAGAGGGTGGATCGGGGAGCCAGGACATCAAGGAGCAGCAGTCAGAGGAGGAGGAGGAAGAACAGCAGAGGGTGACACGGATGTAATGATTTCCTACCGGGGCTACAGGCCGACTCTCTGATCCTATCCATGAATTTCTTTTGAATTATCTGTAAGTTGTCGATATTGTTCAATAACAGGTAACATAGGGTTTGTACATGACAGCCTTAAAGCTGGGTTTACATGCCATTTCCTCAGGAAGCCTGCCCTGACCAGCCAGAGTAGGTCCCTTGGATAAACCTCACCATGTACCTATGCCCCATTTTTATAAGTGACTTTTTAACATCTACCTTCCCCTAGTAGAACATCCGCAAGGGCGAGGAGCACATCCCTTTCTTTGTTTAGTGTTGTACCCCAGGGGCCAGCACAGAGTTTGGCCGGTTACAGATTCTCAATGAGGAATACTCAACCGGAAGAATAAGGAAGTGGGAGGAGAAAATAGGAAGCGGTAGGGGCCACACAAACAATTCACGTCCTGCAGCCTGCCTGTATTTCCTCCCCTTTCTTGATGGGGTAGAAACAGAGGTGTGGGGGAGAGAGGAGAGGAGATAAATGAGGAGAGATGAAGTCAGAGGATTAGGATGGGGATTACGACCAAGGCAGTGAAGGGGCCACCAGATGAGGCTTCCATACTACTGCAAACCAGGGTAACAGGACTTCTGCTTTTTACAAAACCTGATACTCCACATTCTATCTATTTTTAAATCTCAAAATGCCCCAAATGGAGTCAATATTCCAGAGAGAAGAGAAGTATGGAAAGTGGAAGCAGGTGGGGAAGGCATGACGCTAACTACTTTTGTCTGTATGTAGACAAGCCACTCAACACTCACGGATTTGGCCTTCCTCGTCCGTGAAGAGATAAAACAAGATGATGTCTGATTGTCCTTCTGGCTCCTACGTTCTCTGTGAGCCTTTGTGGACCCCAAGGTGGTTCAGAGCCCACAGCACCCACTTGACGCTGCCTCTGCCTGCATTTTAACCCCATCACGGAATATCCCCGCGCACTGAGCATGAAACGGTAAGTCCCTCCCTGCACACATTACAACAACGCACATCTGCACCCAAGAGCCGACTGTGAAAACGTCACCTTCTGAGCGGGGAAGACTGGAGCCCTGCCTGCACTGAGAAAGCCCCTCTGAAATCAGATTCCTGATGGGAACAAGCGCTCAAGATGGAAATTGCTTGAAGCACATGACTTAAGAACTGAGTGACTAAACTACTCTGGCAAAAGCAATTCGGAATAGAAATGTCTACTTTTTCAGGGCTACCCTGCAAAAAAAATTTCTTTCTTCAGTGAAAGTATTACTTTTCTAGTAACAGCTCAAGTTTCTTTCCACCCAATATATTTGAGATATTGGTATTTCCCATGCCTCCTCTCACTCTTTTTTCTGATCTCGCTTTTCGGTAAACAAGATATGCTACAGAGACGCCCAGTAGAGACAGGCAGAATTAGAACACAAATAAACGAAATTATGTGTTCACACATGGGTAGCTTCAGAGATCATTGTTCAGTGAAACAGATGCTAAATTATTTCAATCAACAGTAGCATTTATACACATAATGAAAAGGCAGCACGAATCTCATGAAGCGAACTAGGACCAGTGTGTTACATTGGCCAAAAAGCAATGATGGCTCTAGTTGTTAACAAACCTTTAGAAATAAACTAAAGGGTGATTTACGCTCGTTGTAAAATTTGCCAACAACCCATTGTGTCTGTGGAAGCTATTACTATAAATTTGGTGGCATTAGCCAACATGGCTGCCCCCAGTGAAAGAGCACACGCTAACAAGAAGTTCTCTGAGAATTTCTCTGCGAGAGTAGTCCAGGGCTCGAAAGGACGATAAATCTGTTCATTAGCACAAGCCAAAGTTGTATGAGACTAATTGGGTCTTCCCGTTAAGAGTTTTGTGCCAAAACAACAGTTGCACAGGCATCTTAAAAAATTAAAGCTCAGAAATCGACGTTAACATCAAATACTACTCACATCGGTGTCGGGTCCCTTGTCCGCACCCGGGCAGGAGAAAGTGACAAACTCATGGCACCTCTTGTGAACCACAAAACAGCAAACTGGTGGAGAGAAAAGGAAACTAAAATTAGAGCAGTCACGATCTAATATACAAGCTTTGTTTTCCAAACAGGGCTAGCTGGTGTTAGAAGTCAATCTGATTTCACTCCAGATAAGAATCTCATAAACAGCAATCAGAAGGCATTTCATTCGAGAATCAGAAACATTCGCTATCGATCAGGCTCGCAGATGACAGAGTCACGAAACGCCAGCACAGACAGGGGCCAAGGAGATCTAAACTGTGGCTCCCACAAAGTTGAGGGAGAGGAGAGCCAGAGATGGAGAGACGGTTTCACAAGGCAGAATCCAGGAATCAGAATTTAAAATACTTTGCACCATCCTATACACACACACACTTAAACATTCTACTGTGGGTGAAATAAAATACAAACGCGATGCGAATAACTGATTATAAATATTATATGAGAATCCCTAAAATGCAGGTAGCAGGACTTCCTCAGCAGAATCCAGAACTTAAATTCATTAAGACAGCACAAACCCAATCTACAGAAAACAGCCCTTTGAAATGAAAAAACGGGGTCCACATGTGCCCTTCCAGGTCTTCCAGCAACCCGCACCTAGGGCTGACGTGACTGAGAACTCCGGTGGGGATAGCTTTTGAGGCACAGCCGAGGGGGCGAGCAGAGCTGCCTGCAAGGCACAGGCTGCAAGGCACAGGAACTGCCATGTGGACTTGTTTATTCTGTAACGTCACTTAAGCCTGCAAATTACATGTGTGTCTGTGTGTACATAGAAGCACACACCCAGAGGATGAAGATATGGGTGTGTTAGGGAAATACATGACAACATATAAAACACACATAAATATACATATGTCTATACATAGACACACATGCCTATGTTAACATATATGTATTGTGTATCTATTACATATAAACACATACCCAGAGGATGAAGATATGGGTATATTATGGAAATATATGACAATATATACAAACACACAAAGATACATATGTCTAGACATACACACATACCTATATTAACATATATGTTTATATACATAATAGATACACACATTAACACACACATACCCAGAGGATGAAGGTATGCATAAGTTAGGGAAATATATAATATACATACACAAGTATATATACATCTATACATACACAGACATACACACATATACATATACATAAAAAATCCAGAGGATGAGATATGGGTATGTTACAAAAAGAGAATTAGGGATGATTGTTTTCTCTTTAAATAGTTTTCTTTTAGGTGGTCACAGTGCAATGTCACTGTAAAAATACACTTTTAAAATAAAACGCATGCTTGCAACTGAGCAGGCAAAGAGCTGGACGTGTAAGCAAGAACCATCACCAAAAGGTGACGGGTGAAGGTCTCTCGGGTGGGCACCCCTTTAGAGGTGGAGATGCCCCGGGGCAGCGTCTCCAGCCCACCGTACTCTGGCCGCACCTGCCTGCCATGCACAGCCGGGGCAGGAGAAGGTGAGGGTGAGACTGGAAGGAGCCACCAGCCACCCAGGCAGAGCCGAGACACTCAGGGCAGTGCTCAGCTGCCAGGAGCCCTTGGAGGAGTGGCCTTTCCACTGTGCTTCTGCTAAAAGCATCTTGACTGAAAAACTCTCCAAGGATGGATAATAGAGCAGCGCGGTGACGGCGCACATTAATCTGATCCGCGCTCTCCCCAGGCACAAAGCCATCTTTCATCCGCTGGAATTAGAGAGATAAATTACTGAAGGAAAAAGGTTACAGGAGCATTATTTCCTCATCACAGTTTATCATGGGTATGTTGTTTTGAGGGAAAAATAAACATTCTGATTCTCTACTTAATCGTTCAAACATTTGGGTCTTTCATCTCTTTTTTTTTTTTAAACCATCCCCACAAACACTGTTAAAAAAAAAAAAAAAAGACCAATATTTAGTAAATCCCTTTGGAAGGACAGTTTGTTTTTTGTATCTGTCCTTTCTGTCTATATTTACATGTCAATGCAATACCCCAGCTGGAAGTATTTCTATTGTACATCTCAAAAAATCTCTTACATCAAATTCTATCCTAAGAAGAACCAGGCCCTCACTGTCCAGTATACTTTGCAGGGGTGGCAAAAAGCCCCACTTACCCCCAAATTACTTCCTCCCTCCCGACCTGCCCTAGCAACCGGCTCCCCTCCTACCTTACCTGAAAGCTTCCCCTTTTAAGTGACTCGATTCACCTAACAGGAAGCAAAAAGCAGGGCCAGGTGTTTCCAGAGAGCCACCCACAGATGTGTTATCTGAGGAATAAAGACCTCAAAAGCCTGTTCTGAGACTGAGGACTCAGAATGGACAACCTCCAAAGCAGGGAGAAACAGAATGTGCCTGTGCCTGGGAGACAAAGGGAAGGCCTGGATGCCTCCTCCCCTGCACTCCACCCTCACTGGGGGAACAGGGAGGAGGCGGGTGGAGGTTGGCTGACCCTGGCTGGACACAGCACTGGCCTGGGAAAGCCTGCCCCAGACAACTGAGCAACAGCCGGAGATTCCAAAAATCACTGATGGCTGGCCTTGACCTTTGGGTTCAAGTTCCCAACTAAATTGGGTAATGCACATTTTCAAAGATGATATAAAGAAAACATCTGAGAAGTCTTGCTAGTGTCACTGAAGAAAGAAGAAGGGACTGACTCAATAAAACAGAGAATGCACTGGGTTTACCTGGAGATGGTGGGTGCAGGCTTTCCCCTGGCTGGAAGCAGGAGCTATTGTTTACCTTTATTTGGAATTCTAAAGGAATTCATCTCACCAAGTTACGTTGCAGTATATTATGGTATATATACTGGCTTTTATCCACAGTTCCTATGGAGTTTCATAACTCCCATAGTCCTTGTTATAAAGTTGGGGCACTTAAGGGCTCAGGAGATAAAAACTCCCTCTCTGACCTTTTCCCATCCTCTTTTCACCTGCCCAAGCCAGGACTCTAATCCGATTGTGGGTCAAAAGGCCCTCAACAATTCCAGAGCAGATCCTGCTCCAGACCCTGGAGGAAGGAACATCACACAGGGAGGCCAGGAAGAATCTGAACAAACAGGCCTTGCTGGGTTTAGATCGTGTGCTTTTTGTCCAGTCACAGGTCTACACAGTTGTCAATCGTGCCTATGTGATGAAGCCTCCATAAAACCCAAGAGGACTGGGTTCGGGGAGCTTCCAGATAGCTGAACACGAGTTCCTGGAGGGCAGTGCGCCCAGGGAGGGTATGGACACTCTGCACGCTTTCCCGTATCTCGCCCTACCCATCTCTTCATCTGTATCCTTCGTAACATCCGCTATAATAAATCAGTAAATGTAAGTAAGTGTTTCCCTGAGTTCTATGAGCTGCTCCAGAAAATTATCAGACCCAAAGTTGGGGGGGGGGGAGAGTCATGGGAACCCCAACTGGAAAGGACCGAGCCCTCACCCTGTGGGACCTGACACTATCTCTGGGCAGACAGTACTGGAATCGAATTAGGGTGTACCCAGCCGGTGTCTGAGGCTTGGTGTGGGGGGGGAAACCCCACATTTGGTCTCAGAAGTCCTCTTCTGTGACGACTGTTGTGTAGTTTAGGGGAAAGCCTGGTTTCTGGAATGTTTTTCCCAAAGCGTATGTGAAGCAAGGGAAACTGGAAGCGGTGGGGGGGAGTAAGGCGGAACCTGTCACACAGTACACCTTCGACAAATGTTTGCCTGACCTTGGCAGGAAGGAGGGCAACTTAAAGGCTTCCGGAAGGAAGCGGACACACATCGCGGCAGACCCCTCCTGCTTCACGGTTTGTCGTGGGGGCTGGACTCCCTGCCCATCAGCGAGTCTGTGCTTGAGCAAGCCTGGGCTGTCCAGCAAGACTCTGAGATGGAGCCTCACTTTCAAAGACTTTGGGTCACCTCTGCTTGTATAACCAAATGAGAGGCTTTAAAACAGGAAGCCATCCTGCGGCTTAAAGTCACAAAGTAAATCTTCATTCAATTATTTCCTAAGCACAAAATCACTTTCCTCTAATCCTCTACGTGATATGCTCAAGCTCCCCGACAGAGAGAGATGATACATGAAATGCACAAATCACACTAAGCAAATGGCATGGTGGGACAGAAATAACAAAGACCACAGGCTCGGCCACACAACCATTCCTAACATTACCTGGCTTTCGGATTGGGACTGCGCAGTCCGGCAAGCCACGGCGCTCACTAATCTTGCTTACGCGAGCGGGTAAACTAGATGGAAATTAAGGCGCGTTCTCTCCACTTGTCAAAAGCATATTTCAGAAATAGAACAAATAACAGTCATCCGTGTTTGGCTCAAGGAGTCATAAAAATTTTGGAAACAACAGGTGTGCTGTGACACTGCCGTGTGCATGTGAACAGTGGTCCTCCATCACGCTCGTTTGCCTAAAGAGAACAAACAGCAGCAAAGGGCACGCTGAAAGCCAGACACAGCGTGAGGGGCACAGCACTCCCTCCGACGCTGCTCCCTTCCTGGATCCGATAGGAATTAATTTAGCTATAATGACTCTTGGCCCATTAGACACACACACACACACAGGGGACCCGAGAGTGTTTTGTTTCTGTGTCAAAAGTTATCCTTATACAGACGAATGACTTGGGGCTACTGACACTGGACAATGTTTCCTACGGTGATCTTGAGCAAATGGCAAGGCCAGAGACTTTTTCCATACTCCATTCCTGCGTAGAGTTTTACAAAAAAAAAAAAAAGAATATGATGCACTGATGCCAAAGATAAAGGAATCAGCGGCACCGAAGTGCTTCCTGGTCAACCACTGCAAATTCCTCCTTAGGAGTGCCACCAACATCAATCATACGCACATCAGAAACTACGGCAATGCTTCTGACATGAGGGAAAATTCTAGTTGAAAGTAATTAATCACCACCCTCATACCCATTAGGATGGCTATTATTTTAAAAAGAAAGAAAAGAAGAAGGTAATGACAAGTGCTGGCAAGGATGCAGAGAATCTGGAACCTACGTCCGGTGCTGGCGGGAATATAAAATGTAGAAAAC